TACTCCTCCTCCTCCTCCTCCTCCTCCTCCTCCTCCTCCTCCTCTTCTTCTTCTTCTTCTCCTTCTTCTTCTTCTTCTTCTTCTTCCTCAGGCAGGGTTTCTCTGTGTAACTTTGGCTGTCCTGGACTCACTCTGTAGACCAAGCTGGCCTCGAACTCTCAGTGATCCACCTGTCTCTGCCTCCCTGAGTGTTGGGGATTATAGGCATGCTCCACTGTGCCTGGTTTCTCCTTATTTTTTTTTTTTTTTTTTTTTTTTTTATGAAACTAAGTCAAGAATGGTGCTGGGACTTGTCGGAGGCTATTAGTAGATGTGAGTGTTGGTTACTTTTCTGGCTGCTGTGACCCAACAAGAAGCAATTTAAGGAAGGAAATTTTTGGCTCACAGTTGGAGGGCATAGTCTGCCATAATGGCAGGAGCATGAGGCAGCTTGGTCCCGCTGCCCCTGTAGTCAGGAAGTAAAGAGAGGAATGCTGGTTCTTAGCTGGCTTTCTCCTTTTTAACAATGCCCATGGAGCGGCATCTGCCCACAGTTAGGAGAGGGGTACTTCAATTAACAGTCTAGAAACTCCATCACAGACATGCCCAGAACATCTTCTTCCAGGGGATTTTAGTTCCTGTCAGAGCGACAGTCAACATGAACATCATAGTGTGGGGTTGAAATGCACCTGCCTTTTAGTAAGGAACCCTTGAGAGTGTGCCTGAATTCCAGCGTCTGTTGGTATGGATGGAGGACAATTAGCTGGGACCACAGCAGTTGCTGACTTTGCCTCCTGCATGTCTGCCTTCACAGGTCCTCATCTGGAACCTGGACATAGGCGAACCAGTGAAAATGATTGACTGCCACACAGATGTCATCCTCTGCATGTCCTTCAACACAGATGGCAGCCTGCTTACCACCACGTGCAAGGACAAGAAGCTCCGTGTGATTGAGCCCCGCTCCGGCCGTGTGCTGCAGGTGGAAGCCTGCATTTTGTGGAGGGGGGATGGCGCTGTAGTCCGTGAAGGAAATGGGTAGTCTGGGGCCCCTGGAGGAAAAGCATCTCACACGCACAGCCGATCAACATGGTGGCCCAGGGCCATTCTCAGCTGGGGGGAACTCTGACTTGATATGGGTAGGAAGGAACCAGGGGACTCTTTCCTGCCACGGTGACATCTCCTCAGTCCCTGAGTTCCCCGGGGTAAACCAAGTCCTATCATGGTTACTAGGAGAGGAGACTTTGGACCCACCACCCAGACACCTGTACAAGATGAGCCTGGGGCAAATGGCACAAGACTCCAGGCCATGTGGGAAGGCTGGTGGCAAGGTTACTCCCTGAGTCTCAGATTGCAGGGATGGAGCGCTAACTGGGAGTGAGCAAGGATGGTTTCCTGAGTTCCTACTACATGGCAACCATAAAGCTCTGGAGAATGGGCAGGACAGGGGGCAGCGGGGTACTCAGTTAAGAGGAAGCAGTTGATAGGGAGCTTGCTCAAAGCTCTGGGTTTAATCCCTAGCACATGCCTAGAATGCCAGAACTTGAGGACAGAGGCAGGAAAATGGGGACAATTCTTTCTAGGAGATAATTTGTGGATTAAAAGAGATGGCATGAAAACAGTACTCAACACAGGCCCCCAAGTGGGTTAGTGAAGGTTAGCCTCGCCCTTGCTTGTTTCTGCTGCTCTGGATGCAGGGCCCTTGCTTCCTGATTCCCAGTGTTCTGTGCTGGAAGACGACTGTGTTAGTATAGCACTGTTAGTAGCAGCTGCTGTAACAAATGACCACAAGCTAAGTGGCTGCAAGCAACAGAAACGTGCTCTTTCAGATCAGCAAGATCCCGGTGTCCCAAGTGACTATGTCTGCAGGCTGCTATCCCTCCAGAGATTTTGGGAGAGACTCAATTAATTCTTGTGTATGTGAACACATGTACATACACATGCATTTACATGTACACATGCATGTGAATGCCGGAGGGTGATGGCAGATGTCTTCTTCAGTTGCTCTCCATCTCACTTTTTGAGGCAGGGTCTCCCACTGAACCGGTCCTCACCGATTCAGCTAGGCCAGCTGGCCTGCAAGCCCCAGGATCCTCTTGTTTCTACCTCCCAATGCTGAGGTTACAGACGCCACCACCCAGCTTTTTAATTTTTGGAAGTATTTTACATTTGTTCATTTTGTGTGTGTGTTTTTGGGGAGGAGCTCACATGTGAAGGTCAGGGGAGAACTCAAGGGTATTGGTTCTCTGTGATCTGACTCATGGTGGCAGGCCCTGGGGCAAGTGCCTTTACAGCTGAGCTGTTAAAAAACAAAACAAAAAACAACAAAACATGGTTCTGCAAAGATTGAACTCAGGTCCCCCTGCCAATCAGCAAAAGCTTTATCAGGTATTATTTATTACCTAATCCTTGCTTTGCTTTCTTGAAAAAGGGTCTCTACATAGCTCTGTGTAGTCTCTGCTGGCCTGGAACTTGTGATCCTCCTGCCTCAACTTACCAAATGCTAGATTCCAGGCTTGTTCTTGCCTATTCTAGCTTCTGGGGGTTGCTGGCTCCCTGGCCTGTGGCTGTGCAACTCCAGTCTACCTCTGTTGTTGTGTCACTTCTCTCCATGCCCTGTAACCTCACCTCTCTCCTTCAAGGACACTGGTGATGGCAGTTAGAGCTCGCCTGTGAAAATCATGGTAGTCTCTCCATCTCAGGATTCTTAGGCAAATTACATATTACAAGGATGTTTTTATCTAAACAAGGGGACATTCACAGCACCCTCTAATTGGGACATGGGTTTCTTGGGAAACCACCATTCCATTTGCTCTCTAGAGAACCACATGTTGAGGGTCCTGGCTCACTGATGATCTCTGTCCCCTCCAGGAGGCAAACTGCAAAAACCACCGAGTGAATCGTGTCGTGTTCTTGGGCAACATGAATCGGCTCCTCACGACAGGGGTCTCCAGGTGGAACACGAGACAGATCGCCCTGTGGGACCAGGTCAGCCACAAGGACGCCAGCAGGAGGGCAGAGAGGGGCAGGCAGCCTAGATCTGAGCTTCTGGGGTCTCAGATTCCCAGATAGGGCAAGTATAGAAGGAGGTCCATTGTCTGGGTGCCTGGGGCTTCCACACAAGTGGAGGGAGAATACACTAGAAAGGAAAGGGGTTAAAATAAGACTCATGTGAGGTTGGAGGGAGGGGCCAAGAAGTGGTGCCTCCACAGATCCCCAGCCCTGGCCCATCCTGTGTGGAGAGTGGACGACAGAGCCACCTCGGGTGAAGCTTAGATGGTGCTCACACACCACCTGGACGTAGGCATACATTTAAACATGTACCAGCTCTGGAGCCCTAGAGCCTCCAAGCACCTGAATCGTTTTTACATTACAAACAGGAGTTCAGCTTGGCTCCACTGGCCCAGCTCCATGCCCACTGGCATCTCTGTTTATAGTCCAGCTGTACCCTCCAGCACACCTGGCTGGTCTCCTGCTGGGTTTGTAGGGCGGTGGGCACCCCTGTGCTGTCTTCTTCCCTGTCCTGTCACCCACCTCCCCTCCACCAAAGCAGCATCATGGACCAGAGGACTGGCCCTAAAGGTCAGCAGTAAGTGCTGATGTGAATGCTAAGCCCTTTGTGCGGCAGAAAACAGGACAGGCCTGTTTTCTGTCCTTGGCTACACAAAAGACAGAAAGCCATTCATTAGGTCCTTCTAGTTGTATATGGAGAGTTGTGATGGCTCAGACAAAAGTGGGAGTGGCTAGAAGGCCACAAGGTGAGGAGCAGGAGTGGCCAGCTGGGTTTGGGCTAACGAAAGCCAGGTCCCTGTTGGTACAGCCAGCCCCTGATGGCATCACCAGTGAGGACCAAACAGGAGATGGAACCTGGAGACCATAAAGTCTTCCAGACCACAACCAAAGGCACCTGGAAGTTGCTTGCAGCCTTTCTTCCAATCCGTGTCTTCTCAGCATCCCAGGGACTCTCCAAAAGAGGGGCTGTAGCTGTAGTAGCTGTGCTGGGATTTGGGAAGGAGACATGCCCTCCTCCTAGCTGCAGACTGACCCCAATTCCTGCCTGCAGGAGGATCTGTCCATGCCGATGATCGAGGAAGAAATCGACGGGCTCTCGGGCCTCCTGTTCCCATTCTATGATGCTGACACCCACATGCTGTACCTAGCTGGAAAGGTAGAGGGGAGGAAAGGACTGCCAATCAGTGGGAGATTCCCCGTCAGAATCCTCTCCCCTAAGAAGTCTTCATGGTTTCTGATGAGCCAGCCCGGCCCCTGGCTCCCACCACTTCCCTCTACCTCGCTCTCGTTCCTACTGAAGTGTCAATGACTGAGAAATGCTTCCAGGACAAACTGGAGTGGAGGAATAAAGATCGAGAGCTGACATGTAGACCACAACCAATGGCAGAAGACGAATCCTGTCAGGGAATCCTTGAATACGGCCTTGTCAGAAAGGCCATATGTACATGATAAAACCAACCACAGCACACCCCCCGCCAAACACCACACTGACCGCACCATATATGTGCAACACAGACCATACATACATACCATACTGTACGCATACCTACTACCCCATACATATATGCTACACACCACAACATGTGTACATGCCACAAGAATGCATCCCACACTGCACATACCACACTCTACGCCATACATGCATACACATCACACAGAGTACACATGTATGCCACAGTGCACACAAACCACACACCACAGCTCTGTATACCGCACACACCATGTATACATACAACATCACACAGTACCGCATATCCCACCACATATATCACACATATACATGCCATCGAAACACACCACACTGCACACACGCCACATACCAACACGCTGCACAGAAAGCACACAAATCTCACACACCATTCAGATGTCCACTGTAAACGCCCACACACACATCCCATCTCCGCCATCCCATCTCCGCCCCCGCCCCTAGTGGAGCTACCAAGACCTAAAGTACAGGCCTTCTTGGTCTCTGGCCACTCTGAGGCACAAGGGCAGCTCTCCTTCACAGCCCCCTGGGCCCAGGCCTGTTGGATGCTCCTCTCCACCCTCACTGCCTCTCGCTACCCGCAGGGGGATGGAAACATCCGGTACTATGAGATCAGCACGGAGAAGCCCTACCTGAGCTACCTCATGGAGTTCCGTTCCCCAGCCCCACAGAAAGGCCTAGGTAAGGATCAGGGGCTTCAGGGTGTCTCCAAAGAGTGGGAGACAGTGCTGACAGTGTGCACACCGCTACCCTTTACACAGTAGCCAAACTTCAAAGCCGCAGCCAGTGGCAGATGAGAGGCACAGGTATTGCTACCTTCGGCAGGCCAGCTGCCCCTGCAGCCCATCACTCATGGCCCGAGCTTGGCCATCTCTGCCCAGCAGCAGCTGCAGGATGCAGGCTGGGTCCTCTTCCTCAGCCTCAGCTGTAGATGGAGAGGCTCACCCCACAATGGGACACACATGGTAGGGGGTGGCTCGGTGGCTCTGAAGCCAGGACTCAAGCCCCACTGCAGCCCTGGCCTGGCCAAGCTGAGCAGGCAGAAGCTCCACCATTTCCCTCAGAGCCCAACACTTAGAGAGGGAAACAGAAGACTGTGAGCTTGAGTGCAGCCCACAGGGTGTGTAGTGAGAGCCTGTCTCAACAAAGAAACAGGGGAGAGATAGGCAGAAGGGAGACCATTCTAGAATTCTGTCTGGAAGTGCGGCTGCTTCCATCCCCATGGGAGAGACCGAGAGCCCTTCCTCACACTCATACTCACACTCACACTACAGGAAAGACGCGTGCGCTGTCTGTGCTTGGCACAGTGCCAGGCAGGTGCCAGTTATCCATGTGCTTCACTCTCCCATGATCTCACGTAGGGCCATTTCTGCCCAAAGACCCAAAAGTTCAGAGTTGGTGACTCACCCAGGAACTCCTGTGTGGAAAAAGGGACAAAGTCCCAGTCCAAACTCTCAGCCCCATCTTGGAGAAGCTGTTCTGTTCGTGATACAGAGCTGCTAGGGTCCTCACAGACAACGCAAGAAGCTACTGTTGGTTCTAGAAGAAAAACAGCAGAAGTCCTCTCTCAGGCTGCACTGAAACCTCTGGAGGAGCAGGGCATGGCTTGGCCTCCTTTTTGTTCTCTACAGGGACACAGAAGCTTAGGAAAGACAGTGCAATCCAGAATGTGCTGAGCCCTGCAGCTTTTATAACATTCTGTCCTGAATTTGAGGCCAGCCTGGGATGCGTGACCTTGACCTTGACCTCCCTCTAAAAAAAAAAAAAAAAAAAAAAAAAAAAAGTGACTGTCTAGAGTCAAAGGCTGTCTCAAGACTTGTGGCCACCCAAATTGCAGCCTGCCTCCTGCCTGAGCAGGGACAGAGAGCCCCATAAAGCCATGTGTCTCTCCACAGGTGTCATGCCCAAGCATGGGTTGGACGTATCCGCCTGTGAGGTCTTCCGCTTCTATAAGCTGGTGACACTCAAGGGCCTGATTGAACCCATCTCCATGATTGTGCCCCGGAGGGTGAGTGGGGTGAGGTTGGGCTGCAAAGGGCGCATGTTGGCTCTTACCAAAAGCCCAGAGAGAGGCAGAAAAAGGAGGTCGTAGACCAGGACATCCAGACTCCGCCTGGGGTGGAAGGTGGATGAGGACATGCTCGCTGGGGATGGTTGGTTTGCATGAAGGGGGCAGTTCTGGGGGAGGGGCTGGGAAGGGCAATGACTTAGAGGTGGGAGTTCAGGAGTGTGCCTGGCTAGATGGCCGAGGCTTTCCCAGCGGTTCCCAGGTGTCCTTTTTCTTCTTCCTCCCCCATGCAGTCAGATTCCTACCAGGAAGACATTTACCCCATGACACCAGGCACAGAGCCAGCACTGACGCCAGATGAATGGCTGGGAGGCATCAACCGAGGTACCGCAAAGAGGCTGCAAGCTTTGCCACTCTCCCTAGCTCAGCCGGCTTCCTCTATGTGATCCCTTGCCCAGATGTCCCCTGGCTCCCACACAGCCAGCAAGCTCAGTGCAGGACACCCTCCCACCCTCACACTGGTGTATGACACTGTCTCCCTTGCCTTCCTAGACCCTGTGCTGATGTCTTTGAAGGAAGGCTATAAGAAGTCTTCAAAAGTGGTATTTAAAGCCCCCATCAGAGAAAAGAAGAGCGTTGTCGTGAACGGCATAGATTTACTAGAAAATGTCCCACCCAGGACAGAGAACGAGGTAAGGCTGCAAGTTCTCTCCCGCAGCTCAGGAAGAGCCAGGCCGTTTTGATGACACCATGAACACGCAGGCTTGGACGCCAGCTCTATTCTGGGATATTTTTCTTTCAGAGACAAATGCCCTAAGTAGTGAGTGGTTGGCTCCCTTTGCCTCTGACCTCAGTGAATATGGAGGCTGGGATGGCAGAGAGATCTTCCCTGCTCCCAGCTCAGATTCACTGACACAGGGGCTGAGCATCTCCTCACGAATCAGCACAGAGTGCTACTGTCAGGGGCTGTTACAGGAATTGTAAATTACCAACAGGATCCAGTCTGGCCTCACTGGCACAGTCCACCTTGCCTTTCCGTCTGGCATGTTTCCTGCCCCAGTGGAAAAGGCTAGCTCTTTGTACCACACAGAAGGAGTGAGAGCTCATGCCGGGAGAGAGAGGGCTGAGCTGTTCTTGTGCATGCCCTCTGGAGTTATCTCATTTCAGTCTACACCCCCACACCCACGTGCCAACACAGCTCAGCTGGCAGTTAGAAGATGCCTGGTGTGTGCCAGGCCCTTGGCCGGATGCAGCTGCAAGAGTGATTGGTTGTACGAGCCCGTCTCTGTGCTAATGCTGGCCTTGCCATTTCCTGACTGGGACAGAGTTTCCTGACTTTTCCAGCTGCCGTGATGCTAAAGGGATGGTGCCCAAGTAGCCAGCAGTCTTCAAGGCTCATGCTACATGCTCAAAGACGCTGTCGGTGTTAGCTCGCCATTGCTGTGTCACAAGTTATCCCAGGACATAGTAACTTCATCCCAAATATTAGCCACTGTTCTCACTGTGACTAAAATACCTGAAGAGGAAAACAGTGAGGAGCTTACAGTTGGAGGGGATACAGTTCATTGAGGCAGGGAAATCATGGCAGCACTAGTAGGAGGCAGCTGGTCCCCTCCAGTCAGGAAGCAGAGTGAACAGGAAGTGGGGGTGGGCTGTAAAACTTCTAATCTTACCCCCTGCGGACCTAATTCATCTAGGGAGGCATCACACAACCGGCCCAGAGAGCACCACCAGTTGGAAAGTAAGTGTTGGAATACATGAACCTCTGGGAGGCCAACCCACACTCTAAGCACAACACCTCACAAAGGCTTATCAGCCTGCAGCAGCTATGGGTGCCTGTGGCTCAAGTCACCCATGAAGCTGCTGCTGTCTCAGCTGGTCCTCGGCAAGGGAGCACCTGCCGGGTTTTACTCACTCACACGGCTGTCACACGGCTGCCGTCAGACTAAGGGCCTCAATGCCTCACTGTCCTTGCCAAATGGACCTCACCAAATGCTAGCCTTCACCACGGCAGCCAGCTTCCTGCAGAACAAGAGAGGCATCCAAGATGGAAGCCGAAGCAGTTCTGTAATCTAGTCTGGGGAAGATACATCATCGCACCTGCTGTGCCCTGACACAGCTGTTAGGTCCAGTTCACTCTCCTGGGAAGAGAATGACAAGCACCACCTTGGATTAGTCTGACAAATGTAGGCTGTCATCATTAGTAAAATCACTGCCTTGACCTCAGGAATCGGCCTTGAAAGAGAACTTGACCGGCAGCTTGTCACTGCCATGAAATATGTTTATGTGGGCCAGGGGTGTGACTCAGTGGGCAAAATGGGTTTGATAACCAGTACCACATGAACTGGGCATGGTGGCAGACACATGTAATCCCAGCATTTTTGAGGTAAATCCAGCTTGAACTCGAGAATTTAGAGAAAGAGATGTGGGATTATGTGCCACTGTATAAAGATGTTCAGATTGCTAGAATGGATAGTCTTGTGATAAACAAGGTTCTCTTCAAAATAACCCCAGGGGGAGGGCAGTGGAGTTGGAACCAGAGTGCAGCTGGGTCTAAGGAGTTCCTGGTACTATCTTTCCTCTTTTTGTTTATCTGTAACATTTTCAGTTTTTAAAACATATCTTTTAAGTTCGCTGCCATTTGGAGCTAGAAACATAGTTGCTGAGATTTCCCAGGGAAGGTTGGAACTCTGTCACAGCCTGAGGGTGAAGAGGAAGGGCTGGAGGGGATTAAGTGGAGTGACATCCTGGGGACCTGGGGAGGCATTCACAGTTCACTGTGCAGATGAGGCAGAGCCCACTGTCCTCCTGTAGCTAGCTGTGTCTCTCTTATCTTGAGAAAAGTAACTCAGATCCTTGGACTCTGGCTTTACCCATAGTTGGAGTCATTCCAAAAGCTTGGATGCAACCAATGAGAAAGTGGGGCATGAAAGGAAAACACAGTGACCGAAGGGTAAGGAGACAATGCAGAAGCAGGGCATGGTGGTGCATGCCTGAAATACCAGCACCCAAAAAGCTGAGGCAGGAGGATTGCCATGAGTTTGAGGCCAGCCTGGGCTACAAAGTGAGTTCAGGCCAGATTAGGCTACAGAATAAGATTCTTATCTCAAAAAGAGAACAAAAGATAGAAGGAGAAAGGGAGGGAGGAAAGTTATATTGTTGGACATCTCAGTGACTTTGCTGAAAACCACTGAAGTATACACTTAAAATGTGTGAATGCTATGGGCTATGAATTATACCTCAAAGAGCCATGCTTTGAAGTGGGCATAATGGTGCAAGCATATAATTCCAGCAGCTGGGAAGCAGAGGACCACCGTGAATTCAAAACTCGCCCGGGTTACAAGCCTATAATCCTAGCAACTCAAGAGGTTTAGGCAGGAGTAGCTCAGATCCCAGGCTATATATAATGGGACACACACACACACATGCACACAATAGTATAAATTAAATAATCTTAAAACAAGAAAAGTCAGTGAAAGGAAGGAACCATAAAAATGATGCATTCTTTAAACTATTGACTTTTGCTTGAAACATAAAATGTATGCATTCATTCAGTACTTAAGAGAGGGGAGTTGAAACTAGATCTCCTTGTACAACCCAGAGAAGCCTTAAACTTTCCACCCTCCTGCCTCAGCCAACACTGGATTACAAGCCTGTGCACTGTACCCAGCTCATTCAGCGGATTTTGATGGATGCAGGACGGGGCCACTTCCTTTGCTGAGGCCTCCCTAGCTGGAATCTACTGTGTCTTTCTCATATTAACTATAACTTAACTCCAGTTTTCATCTCTAGTTTTTGATTGTTTGTTGTTTCATTTTTATATTTTTGTTTGTTGTTCTTTTTTGTTTTGGCTTGGTTTGGGCTTTTGCACTTGGTCTTAGTCCAAAGGCTGAGAAGCAACTGATTTCTTTGGGGTGAAACCAGAAAAAAAAAAGTCAATCTGAAAGCAAACTACCTATTTTACAAAATTTCCTCTGGTTTGTTTTCTGGCCATCCTGGGTATTGAACCAAGGGCTTCACACATACTGGGCAAGTGCTCTACCACTGGCTCCCTAGTACAATGAGGAGGAAAACTCATTCTCTGTGGTATGTGTGTGTGTGTGTGTGTGTGTGTGTGTGTGTGTGTGTGTGTGTATGTGTTGTTGCTGTTTAGTTTTATGACAGGGTTTCCTGCAGCCCTTGCTAGCCTCAAGTTCACTGTTTAGCCAAGAGTGATCTTGAACTCCTCCTCCTCCTCCTCCTCCTTCTCTTGGTTGCTGAGATGACAGGCCTGTGACACCACATCTGTTTTATGTGGTGCTGGGTATCAAACCCAGAGCTTTGTGCATACTAGGCAAGTACCCTGCCAAGTTAGCTGCATCGCAGCCGCAGGCCTGTGACTTTTGACAAGCACACATGGCTGGGAGACACTGTGGCCAGTCTCCGTGAATTGTTGAAGCAACACTCCCTACTGACATTTTTAAATAAAAACGGCAATTCTGTGCATTCTTCTTATCAATATATATTATATTTGATTAAATTATGAAAGTACATACAATATCAAATGTAATCATGCTGGAACCTCAAATACAGTGACTGTGAGTGTCCCAGTTTGCTTTTTATTGCTGTGACAAGTTACTGTGTCCAAAAACAAGTTGGAGAGGAAGGAGTTTCTTTGACTTACACTTCCACACCACAGTCCATCACTGAGGGAAGTCAGGGCAGGAACTCAAGGCAAGAACCTGGAAGCAGGAACTGAGCAGAGATGAAAGAATGTGGCTACTGGCTTGCTCAAGCGCAGACCACCTCTCCCTCAGTAATCACTTCCCCACTTGGTGTTTTGTGGGCACTGGTTAGTATATTTCACAGAAGCAATGAGAATCTGGTAGGTTGTATGAAAATCTGCCAAGATAGCAATGCTTTGCCCATCTTCACTGGGAACTGAACCACTGCCCAGACTTTGGCATTATGCCATGGTCTCTTATTTAACAAGATTCTAGGACTAGAGCAAGAGCTCAGTAGTAGAGCACTTTCCTAGCATACCCTGGGCTCTAGACACACACACACACGCACACACACACACCACAAAGGCTATGTACCATTCTGTATTCTCAGTTTCCTCAAGAAAAGAAGAAGGGCTGAGTATATACTCTGCTGGTAGAATGCAGACTTAAGCCTTGCACGAGGCCCTGGATTCGATTCCCTACACTGCAAATGCAAAAACTGAGAGCAATGACACATGCTTATAATCGTAGCACCTGGGAGGTAGAGACAGGAAGATCCTGAGTTCAAGGTCATGCTCGGCTACTTAGTGAGTTTGAGTCCAGCATGGGCTATGGGAGACCTTGTCTTAAAATGAAAAGTCAGAATTCTGTCTGGGTGTTTTTTTAAAGCTAGGAGCTGGGTGGCTTTGTAATCCCAGCACTAGGGAGGTAGAAGCAGGAGCACCTGGAATTCAAGCCTCTGCTACATAGCAAGTTTGAATGTAGCCAACCAAAGCTACAAGGCAAGAAGAAGAAGAAGAAGAAGAAGAAGAAGAAGAAGAAGAAGAAGAAGAAGAAGAAGAAGAAGAAGAAGAAGAAGAAGAAGAAGAAGAAGAAGAAGAAGAAGAGAGGGAGGGAGGGAAAAGAGAGAAGGGAAAGTGGAGGCAGGACAATTAGGAGTTCAAAGCCATATAGCAGAGCTTGACGCCACAGTGAGTTAAAGTGAGACCCTATCTCAAACAAACGAAGTCTTTAGGTTCAGACCCAAAAAGGGGCCAGCTTGGGGTACTGGAAACTAGCCTTCTTTGGGCAGGTCTGCACCCTGGCTTTCTAGTCTCCCTTCAGGAGTAGGTAGGAGCCCTGAAGGGGCAAGCCTGGAGGATAACTTCAGGGAGTGCCGGCCTGGCTGTCCCAGGGCGGCAGGAGGCCTGGGGAAGGTGAGCAGGCGGGGCAGGTGTGGGTGGGGCAGGCTGACTGACAACCATGGTCCTCCTCAGTTCTCCTCATTTGCTCTCTCCCTGCACCCCTGCTGCTCCCCAGCTCCTCAGGATGTTCTTCAGGCAGCAGGATGAGATCCGAAGGTTGAAGGAGGAGCTGGCACAGAAGGACATCCGGCTCCGTCAACTCCAGCTAGAACTGAAAAACCTGCGCAACAACCCCAAGAACTGTTAGCCTCTCAGTGGGCTGTTTTCCAAGCCAATCTCTCCGGTGTTTCTACTGGTCCCTAAACTGCCCCTTATCTGTTGAGCCCAGAGACAGGGCCTGGACTGGAGCTAGGGACCATCTGGTAGACCCTAACTACCACCTCAAAAACTGGAAGCTGACCTTTGACCTCCTGACTTCATGCTAACACCTGTCCCCCCAGCCTCTCCTGGAGGAGACCCCACCCCTGACTAGCAGCCCTTTCCCCTGCAGCCCCAGGAGCAGGATTCCCCTTGGCTCCTGCAGGTGTCCTCCAGCGGAGCCGAGCGGGAAGAGCAGGATTAAAGCCTGACTTAGAACTTGAATGTGTCCCTGCAGAGGGGTTGCCAGGACCTATCTACACAGAGACCAGTCGCCCCAGTCCCAGCATCACTTCTGAAGCACAGTGAGGGCTGGGTTGCTGTGGAGCGCTCTGCCCACCTCCCGTCTCTTTCTCTCCCAGCTGCCCTGGGAACCCAGCTCACCACACCAAAGGTGAGCTCCTGGCAGGCAGGCCCTTTGCTTTCTGAACCGTCTCCCACCTGACCCGACCCTTTGTCTTCAGGGAATGAGGAGGATGCTCTCCAAGGCCATAATGACCCCTTGCCTTCCCCGTGGTTCTCTTCAAAGCCCTTTTAATCCCCTTTTCATTTAATTTGTGAGGCAGGCAGGGGAGGATTTAGTGTCCCCACTTGTCAAATGACAGAACTGAGGGGTTGCATTCAGGAAGCACCCTAGGGTCACCCAGAGGGTCAGAGGCAGACCAAGGACCCTTGACAGCCAGACCCTGCGGCCAAGGCCCTTCCCACTGTACTGAGACGCCAAGCATTTTGTGGGCTTCCCCAGACCCGGGAGCCACTTCTACTGTCCGCCCAACACCAGCAGTGCCAACCCACCACACTGCTCGGTGAAGCCTCACACGCAGTGCCTGGGACCCCCCTGGCCTGCACTCCTTGCTCTCACTCCCCACAGGGAGCTCCGTCTAAGATGAGGCCTCTTCCTGGAAGTGGAGGCTGAGAAAGGATAGAGCTGGGCCCGAGGGCAGGCAGAGCAAGGGTCCATGGCTTCCAGGATGCTCTGCCGGTGTCTCCTTCCACCTCCTCTTCCCACTTCCAACCCTGCTATCTCAGCCACTTTCAGCCTTACACGCAGGAGGACCACAGCCTCTCCATCCGCACAGCACTTTAAAGTTTACCCAACTTTTTGACACACAGATCTCACCGACTCTCGCATCCGCCCCACTTTGCAGCGCAGGGAACAGGGAAGTGGCCCTCGGGCTCACCCTCCGAGATGCGCTGTCTCCTCTGGTCTTCTACAGGCCTGCTTCCCTCCCTCTTTCCATTTCCCACCTACCACACAGAGCTTCAAAGCACCGATGTCACGACAGTCACTGCCATTTGGGCAGAGCAAAGAAGGGGATCTCTGTTGTTGGCTGGGATCTGCTACGCACAGGAAACTCCTTGCCTGCCCTTCCTGTGGCCACCTTGCAAAACTTCCCAACTGCAGAGGCCCTTCCAGGGAGCTGGGGTGAGCTTCCCCAGCCCGGGCCCTCTCCACTCCATCCACTGATGCTCCCTGATCCCAGCTTGCTGAAGCAACTCCCACACCACCCACAGCCAGACTGTCAGCTCTCATCTCCTCCTCCACACTTCTGGAGCTTTCTTTCTGTCCATTGACCATTGTGGTCTTCTGTGATTATTTATGCTGCCTCCCAAGGATAGAACTGAAATAAAATGTTTTCAACTCATCAAGCCAAGGCATGGCCATGTCATTTAGCTCCAGGAGATCCTACTTTTGGTCACCATACTGCCTCTGCGGCCAGCTGCACACTCAACCACTCCTTCGTCTTTCTGACATGCAGCTACCTCTGTAGAGCGATCCTAGCACGTTCTGTTCACCTGGCACATTTAGTTATTAATTTTTTTTTTCAGACAGAGGTTTTCTGTGTAGCCTTGGCTGTCCTGGACTCACTCTGTAGACCAGGCTGGCCTCTACCTCACCGAGATCCCCCTGCCTCTGCCTCCCTAGTGCTGGGATCACGGGAGCGCACCACCACACCGGGCTCCTCCGGCACTTTGATATTGTGGGACTAACAGTGCTTGGCTGTGGGGGTTGTCCTGGTCCCTGTATCCTCATCGGTGTCCCTGGCCTAGTGCATCAGAAGTCATAGCAACATCCACTTAGTTTTGACCGACAAAAATACCCCCATCTATTGCTCAGTGACCCCGGGGGTGTCAGAATCACCCCCCAATTCAGAACTAGTGTTCTGGGGGCTGGTGAGAGGGCATAGCAGGAAAAGGGACCTGCCCCCAAACTAGACGACCTGAGTTGTAGGACAGAATAGGCACATTGGACATGGGATACTTGTACACATATACACACACATAAATAGTACTACAATTTTTTTACTTTAAACATTTTGATTATGCGTATGCAGTACCAGCTGTGGCCAGAAGGAGGCATTGGATCCCCTGGTGCTGTAGTTGTTGTGAGGCACCATTTGGATGCTGGGAACCAAACCTGGGTCCTCTACAAGGGTAGCCGGTGCTCTAACCGCTGAGCCACCTCTCCAGGCCCATATTACACTTTTTTTTAATGAACTGCTTCTTACAGCTATGCCAAGTAAAGTGTATCAAACTTATAAATCTACTACTTAGAGGCTGAGTAGTAGGAGCAGGAGGATTACCAACAGTTCAGCCCAGCCAGCGATATACAGCAGGACCCTGTCGCAAAAGGAGAGGCACGCTAAAAATATACCTCAGCTGGTATGGTGCTTACTTAGAATGGCTCTGATCAGAAGCACGGCAGGAAGATCAGAAGTTCAAGGTTATCTTAGCCACCCAGGGAACTCAAGGCCAGCCTGGGCTATAGAAGACCATGACTGTTCAGTATCCAGTCCTGTGTTAGGGCCCAGGAAGACTGTGTCATATACTGGAGTGGCACGTCATAGCCTGCAAGGGACTGATCCATGAATGTGACTCGCTAGGTTCTATCACTGTGCTGGCGGAAGAGTGATGTGCCCAAGGTCACTGAGCCAATGTGATGAGGATTTTCTAGGTCCAAGGACAGAGGATCTGAGGGCAGCCTGCTCCAGGAGGGTGCTGGGGTGCATCATGAGAGCAGTGATGGCGGACACCAGCACTCCCTCACCACGCCAGGCCTGTCTGAGGAGAGGGTTGTCAGTGTGACGGTACCTCACAGGTCCCTCAGAGGAGCCAGAGGAACTAGCCCAAGCTGAAGTGGGGAGCATCAGAGAACTATAGGGGAACCGTGCACAGGACCCTGGGCAGGTGAAGCTCAGATCCATTCTGGCCCCACTGTGCGAAATCCCGCACGTCACTTCTCTGTACTGGGCATTATTTTCCCATCTGTACAAGGGTGGGAACAATTCCCAGGGTTCCCTGCTGGTCAAACACCTGAGGTTTCCATGATGCCAGCTGCTGGAGAGGACAGACAAATCCCAAGACTACCCGTTGTCTGCATGAGGGATAAAAACAAGCTCATCAGGAGAAGGGGAAGCAGTAGGGGTTCCTGTGAGGTCTGAAGGCAGCATTGCCGAACATGAGTTTGAACAATCCTACTGAAGTTTCTGCTCCTAGATCAATTCTGTGGGTTGTAAGGGATTCTGAATCCATTCAGAGAATGGTCCACGTAAGCTGTCAGCTGGCTGAGACTAATGTTGCCTGGACCCAGGGGAGCAGGTAAATGAGTAAACACGTTAATGTGGCTTCTCCTGTGGCCAGCCTGTTCCACGCCCAGAACAACAACTCTTCAGCCCTTGCTCCGAATGGTAAATTGCCTACGGTAAGTACTGCCCTCGGGAGCCCATTTTCTAAACTGTGTCTGTTAAGTATTCTTCCCATTGGCTACCACGCATCCTTACGGTCTTCATATGCTGTGATGGGGTGCGGCTCCCACGAGGCTGGCTCAGAGTGCTGAGTCCCATCCCTGCACAATCAGGCACGATAGCCTGTGCTGTAGTCACAGCACTTGGGAGGTAGGAGCATCAGGTCCAGGAGTTTGAGAATGTCTTTGACTTTACAGTGAGTTGGAGGCCAACCTGAGCTACACGAGACTTTGTCTTTGAAAAAAAAAAGTCTTCTGCTAGGAAAGCTTCCATTCTAGTCTTTTAGGCGGCCTCTCTGCCAGTGATGACTCAGCTCACCACACAGCTTTACTTATTTAAAGACGGAGAGGGGACGGAGCCTTCTGCGGCTCTTCAAACCATCTCCATTGGCATGTTTCGTCCCGAGGTAAGGCCGTCTTGGGCTAAATTTCAGATCCTTTTTTTCTGTGCGTAGGCCTTTATGTGTCTACAGGTGATGGCACCTCTCCCAGTTCTAACGCCTGTCCTTCCCCTGAAACTGGCTGGATTTCCAGCTTGGTTTATCCAGCAGGTTATCTGAGGACTGTTAACACCTCAGAACTCCAGTCATGTCTATCTGCATCATCCGAGCACCTCCCGGACACAGAGCCCTGAACTACACTGGCTGCCCTCTGGGATGGGTTCGAGGAGGGGTGGTCAGCAGCCTGGGGAGGTTGCTGGCTCCAAGGCTGTCTTCCAGCCAGTCTCCTGAGATCTCAAGATGGGTTCAGGCATTTTTAGACTTTTAGCACTGGGCAGGTATCCAAGGCTGTCGGCGGACCCATGCAGAACCTGGCTGCTTCTTCACTGTGGGAAATGAGTTCATCCTGAAAACACCCCCACCCTGCCTGCCTTCCAGCTTGGAAGGACTAAGACGCCACAGCAGGGACACGCAGCAGTGGTAGACACTTAACCTTGGCCAGGAAGAATGAAGAGATCCACTGGGGCCTGTGGCGCAGAGGGGGGAGGAAGAGTATGGTGTGGGCCTGTGTGCGCATGTGTGTGTCTGTGTGTTCGTGAGTACATGCCTGAGTGTGTGCATGCGTGCCTGTGCATGTCTGTGCCTGTGTGTGTGTGTGTGTGTGTGTGTGTGTGTGTGAGAGAGAGAGAGAGAGAGAGAGAGAGACCTCTGCCCCCTGCTGGATAACAACTGAAGCTCCCAGGTGTGGGGAAGTTTTCCTGTTTTGAAATAACCTGCAGCTTGCTATTTCAATTCAGTAACAAGCACCGTGTTGGCCTTACTCTGACACCTGGCTTCTTAGGTGGTCATTGCCTGGCTGCATGGTCCCTTATGTTAACCATTGACATCCCAGAGCACTGGTCCAACACACACACACACACACACACACACACACACACACACACACACAC